CTCAATTAAGGGCATGAAATATAGCTCAGGTTTCAGTCTACTGCATTATTGTGATCCCTGTCCAGCTCTCTACCTCCCGGCAAGAACAGGGAAATCAAGATCTGATATTTCTAATATGAAAAAAACAAAGTAGTGTGGGGGGCTGCAGTTGAGGCTATTTGCACAAGGCAGCACTGAAGGGCACACTTGGGGGGGGAGGGGGATTTTTTGGAACAACTTTAAATCCTGCTCATTCCTGCTACAGAGGACTCCACAAAATCCAAGTTCTATTCATTCTGGGCTTCCCCCCATAGAGGATGGCCAAAGCTAGCAACCGCAACTTCAACATGCTGCTTATCATCTCTCGTTGTGACAGAGATCTTGCCCCACTAGGAAGAGTTCTATTTTCTGATCCAGCATCTCAAGTTTTATAACAGCTTATTTTCAACTGAATAGTGTAGGGACAATCATGAAACACACTGGACTCCTAAGACACGTTCAAAAAAAAAAAAAAAAAAAAAAAACACTGCTCAAGGAAGAGACCTGGATGCTTTCACCAGGTATTACAGTTCATGAGGTTTCTGCTCAGAATACAAACCACGGCATAAAAACAGGAGTGGCTATGGAACAATCCTGCTCCCAATGAAGTGAATGGAAGATAAAGGTTCTCACCAGCTTTGAAAATCAGGCCACATTCAATTTAACTCCTAATATGGATTTAGGAGCACAAAACAGCCCTTGAAAAATCTGGCCATTAAAAACCTGAAATGTTTATATGTTCTAAGAGCATCCTCCTAAAACTGAGTATATTCACCAGTGCTTTGTACAGCCTACGTTCTAATAACCTCAGTAAAGAGCCTCCCACGAATTTCCCTTGGGACACTATTTCACAGTTATGTTGTAGCTCTCAATGAAATACAAAATCCACTCACCCAGTACAGGGCTTTAATATCAGAAAGGACATGATCTGAAAAACACAGTGTCGAATTAATCTGTAGTGTAACTTCTTTGGCTTTAGTGGGAGTGACATAAGGGATAAAGTTTGGCCCATGACAGACGAGTGCGGGGAAGAAAGGGCCTAATACTTGGCTAAATGGAAAGTTAGATAAAGCCCAACTCTTATTCGTGCTGAGCAGTATGTTACTCCACCTGTAATTCCATTGGTCTCAAGGTACTACTCAAAGCAGGGTTGGTATAATCAATCCCAGAATAAGCAGGATATGCCCAAAATCACAAATAACAAGACAGAGCCCTGATATGAAAAAGCAAGAGATACCCCTGGCAGTTTCAAAGATGTGTTAGGTCCAGGACAGAGAGTGATTGATTCGTAAATGTATGTCATCCATCAAAGAGCTTCAGCGATTTTAGTAAACCCTCCAAGAGCCAAGGTCGATGGGGATAACGTAAGCTTAACACAGAAACTGATTTATAGTGCTGGCAACTGGTCTTTCCTTATCCATTACTTTTTATGATAGACAAGGAATTGCTATATATTACGTGTAACATTTATTTAAAGCTTTTAAATCATTTCTATCTGGTTGGGGCATTACTCTCTCATGCTTCCCGCACCAGATGAATGCTCAGTGTCAGTGATGGATTCCGAGTGGTGCCGTTTCTCTCTATGCATTCTGATAAAAGAAGATGTTTCTTCAGTTTTATCAGGTCTGAGCTCTTATGAATCAGGAGAAGATTTTTTTTTTTTAAAGCAGTCAGGAGGGAGCATGAAGTTTGGAAATGTTTCCACATTAAAGGAATCCTATTCTTCATCTGAATGCAATCGTTCACTAAGGTTAATGGGAGTCATGTTAACACAGAGGAGAGGTAGACCTTTAAGCAGAAACATTACTCAACAATGATAACAGAAGATGATTGCCTTTTAAGTGCGGTGCTGCATTACACCTGCAAGCTTACCCAGTGGCAAGCAGCAGCTGGCATACCCGGAGTATTAGTGCTAATTAGAGGAGGCTGGAATGACAGTCCTAGAATCATCTATTCATTCAACAGACAGGTAAAAAACCAGCACTGATAGGGCAAGCTGCCCCACTAACATAAATACACTCTGAATGAACAGACCACTTGTAGGGGGAAAGAGGAGTTCTGCCCAAATGGTCCCATTCAGTCCTTGGTCGCTCTGTTGAGATTGGAGGGCAAGGAATTGTCGGGTAATTAGTATCAACTGCAACAATATTCTGAGATAGGGACATTTGTGCAGTGAAAAATTAACTGAGACCAGTCAAACTCACTGCACACAGGTAGACGGTGGTAACTTTCAGACTCTGCTAACCCAAACCAGGTAAAAAGGTCCAAGAGTTCCAGTCCCTCCCAACTGCACAGCACCCTATAGCCTCCCATCTTGAAATATTCAGATGTGTCTTTTTGTAACTTAATTATCAGTACTTCACTTGAATTCATTGCTACATCTAATGTACAGCTTTGTGCCTCCGTTCACACGCATATGAATTGTTGAAAACTGAATGCTGCTGCTGAGCTATAGTAATCATGAATGGGTTAAGGATTAAATGGACATGTGAAGCCAGTTTTGGCTCCAAATTGAGAATATTTAAACAGCTACACAGTGCAATATATTTGTTATTAAACTTTCCATTGAAAGTTTACTTTTGGAGGAATAGCATCCCCCCTACAGTGTCTGAAACCTAAGGACAGGTGCAGCTGGTTTGAGCGAGACATGAAATGGAACCAACTAAACGCATAGGTTACAACTGGCCAGTCTACTTTCACTGCCCAAGCTTAGAGAAATGCAGTAAATGAACCGGTTCAAAGCTGACATACCTACAGATTTTAAAAAAAAAAAGAGTACTTGTGGCACCTTAGAGACTAACCAATTTATTTGAGCATGAGCTTTCGTGAGCTACAGCTCACTTCATCGGATGAATCGGATGCATCCGATGAAGTGAGCTGTAGCTCACGAAAGCTCATGCTCAAATAAATTGGTTAGTCTCTAAGGTGCCACAAGTACTCCTTTTCTTTTTGCGAATACAGACTAACACGGCTGTTACTCTGAAACCTATAGATTTAATGATTTCCAGTGCTATTAGTAACCCAGCTAAAGAAGCCTATTACATGAATTTAACCTGACAGCATTCCTTTCAGTATTCCTTAACGGTATCCCTTAGGGACAAACCAGTACAGATCAATTTCACTTAAAGTGCAATGAATCTTGACCCAATACAGTATGCGAAAAGGAGTCATAAAACAAACGACCTCAGTGACCTCAGGGCCCTATTGCTCAGCAGAGAAGGACTATCCTGATAAGGCTAAGAACAGCTGTTTAAATCCTTCCCAGAAGAGAATAAATCCAGCAGCAAGCGAACCTGAAGGAGCAGAAACAGCATAGTTGACAAAGAGGAGCAGGAAGAAAAGAAGCGGACCAACAGTGATGAGACACACGCAAAATAACAATCCTGATTCTCTTCACTGGCAAACTCACATTAGACCAATGCATCAGCATGCTTGGTTATCAAGCAGAGGGGCATGTTTAAAGGCTGCACAGAAACATAGTGGGAATCCCAAGAAGATACTTGAAAAACAATCTCTCTCTTCTGGCTGAAAACTTTTTTTAGGAGCAACAATTCCAGGCAGGGAGCAGGGGGAGTGCATTTTTGTCTGTTGCATCTGTTCTGTGGATCCCCCAGCACTTTGTATAGTCAGTTTCGCTCTCCCCATGTAGTCAGCCAGACAGTTTCCCATATTGTTCCAGGGGTCTTTCAGGGGGAAGAGAACAACTTAGACGTCGAAGAAAGCGTCGGGGGGCAAAGGGGGCGGGTGCAGGCCCTAGAGCCGCTTCCAACACAAGCGCAAGTAGATTGTGACTTGACTGGGAACCCCTGTGGGTCTGCACAGGGGGAGGGTCCCAGGGGATAGGGCCCTGCGGATGGGCAAGGCACTAGAGGTGGGGTGGGCTGGGCTGAGGGCAGGCAGGTGCCCTGGGGTGTGGATCCCAGCGGCAGGACAGGCTGAGAGGAACAGGGGAGTCAGGACTCTGCAGGGAGAGAGTCGTGGGGGTGCCCCAAGGGAAAATCCTGGGGGACAGGGCTCTGGGGTGGGAGAAATGGTCCGGGGGCAGGCTCGGGCCTGGGCCCTCGGGGGACGGGGAGCGCGCGTGTGTCCAGAGGGGATGTCCCCGGCAGGGCAGGCTTGGAGGGGATGAGGCCCGGGAGGAGTGTCCCCGGGGAGAAAGGGGCAGGCCGGAGGGGGCGTGTGCCCTGGGAGAGAGGGTGTCCCCTGGGGGCCAGGCCGGAGGTGGGGCCGGGCCGACGGCCCCCGGAAGAGCAGGCTGGAGAAAAAGGAGTCCGGGGGGGGCAGGGTCAGAGGGGCTTGTCCCCCGGGGGGGGGAACCAGGCCGAGGGGGAGGGGCCCCCAGGGAGCAGACTGGAGGAAAAAGAGTCCGGGGGGGGGGGGTAGGGTCAGAGGGACTTGTCCCCCGGGGGGGACCAGGCCGAGGAAGAGGAGCCCCCAGGGAGCAGACTGGAGAAAAAGGAGTCCCGGGGGGGTGTGGGGGGGGCAGAGCAGGGTCGGAGGGGGCGTGTCCCCCGGGGGGGGGACCAGGCCGAGGAGGAGGAGCCCCAGAGAAGGAGGAGGGGCCCCCGGGGGAGCAGGCTGGAGAAAAAGGAGTCCGGGGGGGAGGGGGTGCAGGGTCGAGTGGGTGTCCCCCGGGGGGGACACCAGGCCGCGGGGGAGGGGCCCCCAAGGGAGCAGACTGGAGAAAAAAGAGTCCCGGGGGGGTGTGGGGGGGAGAGCAGGGTCGGAGGGGGCGTGTCCCCCGGGGGGGACCAGGCCGAGGAGGAGGAGCCCCAGAGAAGGAGGAGGGGCCCCCAAGGTTGCAGACTGGAGAAAAAGGAGTCCGGGGGGGGGCAGGGTCGGAGGAGGCGTGTCCCCCGGGGGCCCCTCCCCCTCGGCCTGGTCCTCCCCCGGGGTGGCCGGGCTGGAGGAGAAGTCCCAGGGGGAAGAGGGTCGGAAGGGGCGTGTCCCGTGGGGGAGGGAGGGGCCCCGGCCGGTCTCACCTGCGGAGCAGCAGCCCCGCGAGCAGCAGCAGCAGGAGCAGTAACGCGCCCAGCCGCCGCCGCCTGCGCCCGCAGCAGCCCCCCATGGCGGCCGCAGGGTCTCCTCAGCCAGCCCGGGCCCGCGCGCCGCCGCCGCCGCCGCCGCCGCTCCTAGGGTCTCTGGGGCGCGCGGCGCCTCGGCCCCCAGCCCGGCTCCGCCCACTCGGGCCCCGTCGCCTCAGCCCACGCCCTCGCGGCGCCCCCATTGGCCGCGGCCTGCCGCCCAGCGGGCGGGCTCACCTCTGGATTGGGTAGGAGGGGCCGAGGCCAAGCCCGCTCCTGATTGGCCACAGCTGTGCCGCTGCCCGGCTGCCCTCCAGCCGCAGGTGCTCGCGGGGCACGTGCCTGCTGCACGGCGTGGGGGGGAAGGGGCAAAGGTTCGAGCCAGCCCCTTCCCCTCGGCCGCTGGGGGACGCAGAGCCCCAGTCCCGCGCCCGGGGGAGGCACCGGGACAGCAGCCCTGGAGCCTCGGGGGGCAAAGACCCACTTATTAAGCAACCATGAGTCAGGCCCCAGGAAAGCCCTTGGCCCCCTGGGTGCTTGAGTGGGGACAAGCTCCTCTCCTCGCCCCACGTGCGGGGGTGCAGCAAAAGCTACAAGTTTCTGCTAAAAACCTCACGCCCAACCCCTGCATCCAGGGACATCCTTAGATTATAGGGGGCCCTACGCAGTAGAATTAAACTGGTGCCCTTATGCCCGACTTGGGGCACAGCCAGCACCCCCCCACCCACAGAACCCCAGAAGAACTCACCCCCCCCCCCTTGCTGACATACACAGAGCTTTGTATGCAGACAAAGTGGCAGCTGGGGGGGCGGGGGGCAGGGAAGAGGCAGCAAAGGATACCAGGGCCCCCAGCCCGCATCATGGCAGTGGAGAGTCACAATTCCACGGAGACCAGCCCCCCGTGCCCTCTCCTTCAGGCAGAATGGACCGTGCTGGTACATTCGGCTCTGTGAATACGGCCCTTGCATCACGCGACTACAGCATATACTGGGTGTGCAGGAGCCGACCTGCTCTTACCTGCTGTCCCCGTGGTGCCCCAAATTTTCGGGTGCCCTACCCCGCCGTGTATGCTGCATATGCCTAAAGACGGCCTTGCTTTCATATTTGCAAACACACCTACTCTGCAGCTGTAGGGATTCACAGCATTGTAAAGAGCCCCCAGCAATAGGCCCATTCCTCCACCTTAACACACCCAGGTGTATAGGCATCTCCTTTAAATTTGCCCCTGTATGCAGTTAAATTAGGCACTGGTCAGCAGCTCTGCAAACCAAAGCTCTTGGTTTCTCTCCCAGCACAGACAACCACAGTATAGTCTTTTTTCACACTGGTGGGGGTGGGCAGTGTCTCCCACCCTGGCCCTCGAGAGCACTTCCAGGAGGAAAAGTAGAGTTCACACTAATGGCTCATTCCATCCTCATTCTGCCTTTTTTACCAACATTATCAATTGTGATGGTAGATTTGCAGATAAATACACCTGCCTCCACACCTAGACCGAGACCAATTCAGTTCACAACGTATGAAGCCTGCGCAGATAACAACATTCAGTCTCTACCCAGCTAAGCTAGATTCAAGCCATTTATGCCTGAACCATTCACAGCACCATTTTTAGGCAATTACATAAACCTGAGTTTACAGAGCATCTTGGCCCAAGCAACCCAGCGAATGGGAGATAGATAAGGCTTCACTGGCTCTCTGGTTGGACTCTGCAATACTAGTCAAATATTTAGAGAAGCCCAAACAAGGGTTACTTACAGGGCAGTAGCCTTCTGTTTACCCAAGTATTAAATACAGTCAGTTTGGATTTTAGCTTTTACCAAGCCAGTCTGTACTACAGAGATCTGTAGCATCTGGGGAGCTGGTTACAACGAAGTTGAAATATATAGCAGTTACCCACTTAAGTCCCATCTACGCTGTTAAGCAACACTGTCAAAACGATCACATCTTGACAATCATGTTGTAAGTAAGCACAGACAAGTTCTGAACAGTTAAGAGTTTCTATGGAGCCACAGTGTGTCTCACAATGTCAAAAATACTTTGGTATGACAATCCATTCCCTTCCCGTCCTCTACCTGGAAGGGTCAGATACACGTGTGTTCATCCTGAAGAAGGAAAGGTCAAGTTACTTCAGTTCCTTGATATTATGGCTGGGGGGGGAAATCTCCCTGTGTCATTTTTTGTGGCAGATTCTGAAAAAGGAATGTTGCCCAATAATTAAAGCCGGGAATAGGAAGTCAGCTATCTCTGCCACTGACTGCTTACCTTGTCACTTCCCCTCTCTCCACCTCAATTTCCCCATCTGTCAAATGAGTATGTCAACACTTACCCACCGGAAAGGGCTGTTAGTTGGTAAAGCACTTTAAGGCACTAAAGATATGCAAGTTATTAGTAATTAGGATTTTCCATTAAACAAGCTGATTTAAAAAAAAATGCTATCAACTAAAGGGAATATGTTCAAATTAAAGAACTAGAATGTTGCAGAAAGAGTGAATTACCAGAACTGATGAAACCCCCTAGTGATTTTACTGTCATAGCTTTATTGATTCCGACATTGAGGGGGCAGGAAAAGTAAACCTGATCAAAGCTCTGACTCTGCTCGTATTGTATGTTTCTAGGTAGAGTTAATTTGAGAATAAGGAGCCCAGGTTTTCTCGTGCAAGATTCTCTCATCTATCCCCCTGATCCCATTACCCAGGATTCATAATGTTAATGAAAGCATTAACTGGGATGGGGTAGATCAAGAGCCAGAGAACTCTAGGAAATGAGAAGCAGTGATGCTTCCCGATTAGCACCAGGCACGCCCCATTCCTTTCAATGGGTTTAAAATGCTCACTGCACTGTGTAACAACTCACGGAGACACACTCTTTATGGATGACTTGCCCCAATGCTGCAGCGCAGCACCTTGGAAAGACAAGGGTTTAAACAAGGCAACAGATTCTCCCTGTGATTCAAAGGAGTTGCCTTATCCGTAAGAGAGCACACGTGCACAATCCTGCCTGAAATTAATCAGTAGGCTATGCCTCCACATCTGCCTTAGAAATGCCCCAGGGAAGGAGAGGGGCTGACTGGATTCCCTCTGTTTTGATCCTGTCCTGGCACAGAAGTGGACTGGATGACCCCAAAGGGCTAATGTTTCTGTCCGAGGAGGGGCAGGGCAGCAGCAATGGCCCATGGTCAGGACACAAGGACAAAGGCTTTCATTCATGTCCGATTTTTATCTTTGGCGTCCTTGATACCAGACTAGTACCAGCAGCTCTGCCAGGCACCGCATACAGCTGGGACCCCACATGGGCTGCATACAGCTGTGCTTGGGATCAGAAAGAGTCAAGAGAGTTTCCACTGGTACATTCCCACTCCCAGGGAAGGAGTCTATGGAAACAGGAGCAATAGACAATGTTCTAACTAGCAAGTGGAGTGCATTAACACTAGTTTATACACTCCTGGTTTCACTCCTGTAACAGATTCTTGGCCACAATCATCCTCATCACCTCGTTGGTACCTGCAGCAGGACAAAGAACACAGAGATAGAGACAGTCATCAGTTAAGTGAAGGTCCAATCCTGCTTCCATTGAAGTCAAATGCAAAAAACCTGCTCTGTTAAACCCATAACAGAGCAGTATGCAATCTGCAGAGCAGTTATTCCATGTCTCCATCCAGCCTGTGATCAGGGCAAAACCTGGTGGGATCTGTAGCCTACTCTACAGAAGAGATTCCTTTCAAGCATGAAAGGGGTTCTGGGTATTAGTGGGTGTAGAGGAGAAAGTAAGACATAGATGCCTGGAAAAAAGACAGCTCATTAAGGGGGCACTGAGCGCTCCTTGCTCCCATTGATATTAAAAGGATTTTAGGGCACGGAGCACCTAGCAGAACTTGGCCCCTATTGAAGGCCAGTCTCTCTGCTTTACCTACTGCTACATATGCATCATATCAGAGAGTAGAAAGGAGCATAGCAGGGGATGGCCAGGACCACACCCCTTCCCGATAGTCTAATTCTAGGTGAATGGAGTTCGAAGAATAGCAGTAATAACGATTAAGAGGGTAGATTAAAAATAAAAATCTTGGCTCTGCTAAGGGGGATATTACCACAATTCTCTCTACAAGGATCCGAAGGTGGAACAGCACGCAGAGCGAGAGGAATTGTTCAGGGTTCAACAATGGGTGTTAATAGGAGTAACAGGATGAAATTAAACAAAGACACCTTTAGTGTGAACATCAGGAGACCTTTTCCTCTGGTGAGACCCATTAAACTATCAATAATTTTCCCAGGGAGGTGGTGAGAGCTCCTTCAACTGAGTCATGTGGAGCAAGAGTGGGCAAGACACTAAAAAACAGACTGTACGGAGCAATCCTGCACATGGAGTCTCTTCTGTCTTCTACTGGGTTGGAAATACTTACAGGGCTACACAAATCTGCTATAGCCCAATGAACTCAGATCCCCATATGGGTTTTGCTGTCAGATGAGAGACCTAAAGCACAAAATGAAAGAAGTGGAATTTGCAACTATAATCCAAGTCCCTGTTCTCCACTGGAACATACGTATGGCCAAGGCCACAGCCAGTTGTCAGTTTTGTTAGCAATACCCCAGGTTACCTTCCAAGATCTGGTGGACTCTGATGTCTCTCATGAACTGCTGCACAGCATAGTCCTTCAGGTAGCCATAGCCCCCATGCATCTGTAGGGCCTGGTTGCAGATCTGAGGAGAAGAGAACGTTGGTGGGTCAGGCACAGAGTGATGAAGTGATTTGCCCAGGGTCACACAGCAAGTCAGTGGCAGAGCTAGGACTAGAGCCCAGGAATCTGGACTAAATCTGTGCTCTAACCACCAAACCACATTCCCAAGCAGAAACGGAACCCAGGAGTCCTAAATTCCAGTCTCTTCTGCTCTAACCACTATATGCCATGGTACTTGTTGCCATATTTCCCAGACGGTGCCATTTAAAACCAATGGTATCATCTTAAAAGGAATGCTGCAGTGCACAAGCATTTTAATTCCCCTCAACCAAGGCAGTTTCTGCTGCATTTCTAACTGAGTCTAGGTCCAAAATTAAAATGCAAGACCACCATCTAGTGACCAGCTAGGATAATTCCAGGATAAAAGCCCTCTATTTAA